AAAGATTCGAATCAGTAAAAAGAGTCGGTCTTCCCATCACTACTGTGTTGCCTGGCGCCGCCATGTTGAAGTGGCTATCTGCCTGGTAACAGTCATCGGTAAGAGTAGCTGCGTAATGTCCCCCTGTTAGCCGCTAGTAGGCGCTGCTTCAAAGGCGAATCCTTTCTTGTTTGTAAACAAACACTCCGGCCACCGGTTTATGAGCGACCTCGCTGTTTTCATTATACAGGAGGATATTTTGCCGGAGATTAAAGATGTGTGTTCATATTACAAAAAGGTAACTAATTTCCAATTACCCAACGCTGTGTTGTATTATAATACACGCGGTTTGTGTTTTCTACGTGTGCTGCTGTCTTTAGCAGTAACTACGGTTGACGTGTTATTTCTTGTGTTGTGTTATTTCCCTGAAGGTATTAGACCATTATGAAAACCCAAGAAACGTAGGTTCTCTGAACAAAAGCTCCAAGAACGTAGGAACTGTTTTAGTGTGTGCACCAGCCTGTGGTGATGTAATGAAACCGAAACTTCAGGTAAACTGGGGATATTCGAGACGCTCGAAGTAAGGTTATATATGTTACAAAGTTTGTATCATTCTTTGTGGATTTAATGAATATCTTTTTTCCAAATATTGTACAATACATAAATTGTTGTTGTTTTTAATACAACAATTTCTTTAAAATTACAATGATGAATCCCACAGTTTTTCTTATGTTAATGAGAACAGAAGATGCTCCTTGATTGAATTTTTTTATTGTTTGCAGATTCAGGTGGATGAAAATGGCAAGATTGTAGATGCAAAATTCCAAACATTCGCATGCGGCTCTGCAATCGCTTCCAGTTCCCTAGCAACAGAGTGGGTGAAGGGCAAGTCAGTGTGTGTGTTCATCACTTTAAGAGAAAATTTAGTTTTTTAAATAATAATAATTTTCATTTTCTTTTTTTCATTGTTAACTGATTCCCTTCCTTCACTTGTTAGATTGACGAAGCTCTGAAGATCAAAACCACAGACATTGCCAAAGCCTTCCTCCAGTCAAACTTCACTGCTCCAGTTAGATTAAAGATAACAAACACAAAACTAAAGAGCAAAAAAAAATCACAAACCGTACTAGAATTGTATATTGTAACTGCTGGTGTCCTATAAATGGTTTCTACATATTCTGACATGAAATTTCACAGTGCAAATTTTTTTTTCTGTTGTTCATTCTCTTGTTTCTCAAAAAAAAAATTATCTCAGTGCTTGCAGAAGATGCTATAAAAGCAGCGTTGTCAGACTACAGACTGAAGCAAAAGGACAAAAAGGAGAATCATGTCAAAGCCAACAGTTAATGTGTCGATAATAACCTCCAGTGTACCTCACTAGAAAGCATATTAAAATGGCACCAATACAGGATTTTTTCTTTTCAAAAATTTGCATAACAAACTTTTCTTCTTCTGTTCTTGTAGCCTCAGTTTCTCCTCCGGAGAGAAATGCAAACGTTTCCCCATGATCCGCCTGTCATTCACTTCTCTCTCGGAGTAACATCTGTTGCTGTTGGTAATTTCAGGCAGATGCTCATCAAAGTTTGATGAGCAAAGACTGCCTTAAGGTACTGAGTTACCTCTTCTGGATCTTCTTCACTGTTCACACAGTGAAGAAGATCACAGTAAGAATGAGGCTCTGTTGTGCATCAATGCTACGGGTGGTCCAAAAACTTCACCAGAAAAATCAACACAAGACTCGTTGAACTAAAAAGAGTAAAAGCCTCACACATCTGAAAATAAACCTTCTTCTGAAATGATCACAGATGGAGTTTAATCAAACCTAAGCTGTAGGTGATGGGGAGTGGTCCTTGGGTGGTGAGCTTTTCCTTCGCCTGGTTGGAAGAGTGAAAGTGAGGGGGTTGTATTTACTCGAATTATTCAGCGCTTCATTGACAATAGAACAGGGAATCTGACCCGAGTGAAAGGCGCTGTCATAGCTCGCATTTCAGACGTCACTGTGTCAACACTTGCTCTTTAGGCTGCTTCTATACTGCCATCGCTAATGTTTGATCTTTGGCAATTTGACCCATCCTTTAAATTGATCACTTTTCGACGAGTGAATAATTTAAATGCAGTGATTCTTGGTGTGGTTTCAAAATGGGGCGATTGAGCCATGTTAGGATGCAGATGAAATTAATAGAGAAACAGCTGATCGCACAAAAAGATGAGGGAATTTGTTTATCATTTTTTTTTAAATTCAATTCATTTGATTTTTGAGCTAAACATCAGGGGAGTAAATTAGTGTTTCCAAGATTTGCCTTCATACATAAGCTCTGGCTTTACAGAACAGGTCTCTGTATGTATCTGGTTCACTGCTGCTGAAATATTTAAGCAATCCTGTACAGTAGCCAGCTACGGACAAAGGCAGCCCTTATCAAAGGGAGTCCCTCCTCATCTCCACACTGTACTTCCTGCTGTGTTTGTGTGCAATTACTGTATGTCAACTGCCTCGTCAACATGAACATCAATCAGACCTAAAATGTTGAGTCCAGACTGAAGTCCACTGTTCACACTTGCTCTCGAAGAAAGCGGACGCTTTTTCCCTTGCCCCCTTCCTCCCTTCCTGCCCTTATCTGCCCTGCTACTGCTCTATGTCTTGTACCGTCTCTGTCAAACTATCTCGGCGCCTCTCTCTGCATTTTCCTCCAAAACCAAAATGATGGATCTGGTCAACTGGTCTCTCAACGCAATTGATCAAATTTTCTCAACCATGAGAATGGGTAAAGGAGAACCCGCCTGCCCTGACGGAACCTTCCCGGCCGGCTACATGTTGGACTCCTGGGACAGATTTATGATGGCAGGTTTTCTGCTGATTGGCCTGGGCACCTTCCTGTTCCATCGTGAAAAAAAGATGATGCTACAATTGGCAATCGACAAGCTCATCGCCCTGACTGACGGATGGGGCAGGGCCGTCAACACTCAGACTCAAG